TCATCTGCAGCGTTGAACTGGGTATGACCAATCCCAGCTTATGGGCTGTAGATCTCTTTAGTCTAAAAATTGACAGAAAAGACAGCTGTAAAAATAGCAGCTCACTGGGCATAGCCCCTGTTCCCTCTCTCCCCTCTCTGCCCATCACCATTTCAGAGCTGGCGGCATGATTTCAGTCCTTTGCTTTGACATGAGCCACAGGGTTGCACTGTCAGCAGTGCCACTGTACCCTGCCTACAATGGCTTCACATGGAAAAATGGTGAAATGGGTGCTAGGTAGAGATATATCAGAGATAGGAGGAGGATCTGGAAGCCTGCAGTAAAGTTTAAAGGAAGGAGAAAGCAGAAAAATGCTCTCATCTGATCTGCCTTGGTTAAACCCCTGGTATATGATGGATGTTGAACTAGAAGCCCTTCTCCATTTGTCTTTTGTAGGTTTTATACTGCTCCCCAACGCTGTAGGACCTAACACCCAGCATATACAATCAATAGCAATTGTTTCTCGGCCAAGCAGCAGTACTTCCAGAAATGCATCCTCTTCCCTGTTGTTCCAGTAGGTGAGACCCGTGTGAATGAGCTGTCCTTGAAGGCTGGCTGGGTTTTTGCTGAGCAGAAAACTCCCAAACCCTAGAGCACAAGGAACTTGCTCTTTGCTAATTCTGTCTTTGGCAACCATTCTATGCATCCTGCTGTAGAACTGCTGTAGAGTGTTCTGCGCCTGCATGTCCTCCTGGGTGTTGTTCCTGTGTTCAGCATGCAGGAAGGCCCCTGATGACATGATTCCAGTCCCCAGACTGTTGGGCGTCTCTCAGATGAGGGTCTGGAGGATGTGCTAGAAGGTGCATCTTGTTCACCAGCAGCTTCTGCTGCAGCCAGACCTGAGGGGACACTGTGGCCCATTGCCTGCCTTCTGATCCTATCTCTGAAGACCAACCTTTTCATGAGAAGATGCTGCTGAACTGGCACCCCTTTTCTCTTTGCTTCACAAAAGCCTAACCAGTGCAGATTACTGTGGGCACCCCTCTTCTCTTTGCTTCACAAAAGGCTAACCAGTGCAGATTACTGTGGATTTGGGAGTTAGCAAGTTATAACTTTGAATTGGGTAATCATGGAGCAAAGTCCTTTGATGAAGAAACATTTGCTGCAGCAACAGGTAATCCTTTGAGATGACAAATGCTATGGAAATGTTACCCAAGAGAGGGTAACATAATTATGAGACGTAGTTATATTGTGTCTAGCTAACCAAGCATGCATTGAAGAACATTGCCTGTAATTGCTGCATTTAGCACACATACACGTATAAAATATATTTCTCGCTCCTAAAAAATCCTAGAGACACTTTAGTGCTTTTCGTGAGGAATGGAGCAATGTGATACAATTTATTTAATTGCTCTTCTATATTGGTCAGTGTTACTGCATTGCTGGAACTGTCAGTCTGATTAGGCTAAAATTTGTGTAATGAATGTGGAGAAAACTTCACAGCAATATCTTCTGAGGGTTAGACACATGAGGACTCTTTCCTAAAAGAAGGTCAGATTAGCAGCATGGAGAGCTAGAATATCAGATTAGGAAAAATGTATATGAAATAATTATTATTATGCATGGTTTAGAAGGCTGCCTAACTAATTCTATAAGAATTATAGAGAGAATTATTGTCTGTAAGAAAAATACTGTGTTCTCTGTAAGAAAAATAGCAAAGTGCTTGATGCTTCCTGTGGGTTGAAAGTTTCATTCCCCTGTGACTTGTGTCATAAATATGCAAGTGTTTTGTTCCATCAACTGCAAGAGCATATAATATCAAGAATAAAGTTTTCAACTCCTGGACTTCAATTGTTGCTTAAAGTCAGATGAGCACAGCACATCTTGGAGAACCTTTCATCAAAGCAGGTCAGTTAACTTTAATGAAGTTGTCTTCGATTTGCTTTGATGTAACATCAGAACCCAGCCCAGATGATTCCAAACGATCAGCAAATGAATTTCCACACTGCAGTCTTTCAAGGACGTAGGCTTTATGAAGTGTCTAGTTTTCTGCATTCTGAAGTGCCTAATTTGACTCCCTTTTAGCAAGGCCTGTTTGTGCTTTTCCTTTTGAGGGAACTGCTGACTTCCCTGTGAAACTGAGCCCCCCTCTAAGATGCCGTATATTGGGCAAGTAAGGCAGGGGCATGCAGCTTCACTGCTTGCTATTAGAGTATTTTTAAGTCTAAGACTGTATCATGCAGGGATCTTAGGCTGCCATGGTTCTCTTTTTGGGTGGGGAGAGATTGACATTCTCAGACATGTAATTTCTTTAATTACTTGAGCAAGGAGTAATTGTCAGGCCAGGGATGGTAACAGAGTCAGGCTCTTCTGTTCTAAATGAAGTAACATTAGCTACTAAAGCTCATCAAAGTGCCAAAGAGCCTCTTACCTCAATTGCAAAAAAAGGGACAAATGTTACCATTTCCTTCAAAATGAAGCTTCCTAAAATATTTCCAGAAATACATAATGTGCATTGAAGTTACTCGCTTAGTGAGCTTGAGCGAGGACGTGAGCACTTTCCTACTTGTCCTGGGGGAGAGTTGCATACCTTGCTGAAAGAAAACGTGTTTGGGAGAGGAAGAAAACACAGCTGGCCTGGGAGGCAGAGTAGTCATTAAGCAGCTGGAGGGCTCTGGTTTGCATTACTGAATGTTGGGGGATAAGTCATCAAAGACTGAAGATCCTAGGTTGGCAGTGTGACTGCCTGAAGAAGCGCTGACACCACATTCCCTTGCCTTGAGCACACCTTTCCTTCTTCCTAGTGTTTTGTTTCACTTAGAGCTTTGAAGAAATTCATTATTGATTAAGCATCACCATCAATCCCAGTAGCTCAGTGCTTTGGTCTTTCCTCTCTGTGTCCCGGTAATACAATAGCCTAGAAAAGAGGTGCTGTTTTGAAACTTTGTCTTCCTGCTTTCCCTTCATGGGAGTGTGGCCTGGGGGCTCAGAGGTCTTTGTGCCTCTGTTCAGTCTCCCTTGCCAGTGAGACCTAGAGTTCACCTCCCACAGACACCTATAATGAGGACATGGCTGCATGAGCCTCTTTTCCCTTCTTTGCAACAACTTGCTAGGCTTGAATGCTTGGAGCTGTCTGAATTTTTCAAAAGCTTGGCCACGCCGAGAATGTTTTTCTGTAGGGTGTTATTTTTATTTCTTCTGCCCTCCCCCCTCCTGCTAAGACTCATGATTCACTCCGAGACACTTGAGCGTTTCAGTGCATTATGATGAGGAACATGAAGAAGACATCAAAGACACAAACACAAACAAGGTCTGTCCTGACTTGGAATCACTGATTGGAGTATAAGGTATGTATTTTTTAGGCAATGTCTGAAATTCAGTATCAAGATTCCCAGGTACTTCTGCAGATACTCCTTTTTATGTTCAGACCATTTGTAGTGTTGCCCGTAACCTTAGCAAAGGGTTTTCTCATAAGCACTACAGCGGAAAATGCTAATTTTACTCGTTCAGACCACTAATGAACAGCTGTCTCTGTTCTGTCCTGTGATTAGGCAGAGATGATGATGAAGCTGTAACAAGTGAGGGGACAGTGCAGTGAGGTGCAAGACACATTCCTTCATGAGGAACTAAACTGTCCTTGCTGTGACTTGGAGAAGCCAGTCCCACCTTCATACTGCCTTAGGTGCTTGCTGCGAGCAAATGTTGACGGTTTCTTTGTCTATCTCTTTAATTGTTTAGTTGAAATAATGACATCTTCCTCTTGAAGAAATCCTAATTAGCAGAATGTTGAGTAGGTCAAACTCTAATTGTTTTGCTCTGCACTGGAGATGATTTGGAGGATATTTGCACATGTCTGTATGGTATTCCCAAGAGGGATATAAATCTCTTTTTCGCTTATAATGACTTGTTGATAGTGAGCCTTTTGGAAAGGAAAGCTTTGACATTAAACACAGGATATTTGAGGAGCTTATTTATGAGAATTCAGCACCAAGTTAAATGCATGTTGCTGTGGAAAAGGTTCTTGGCGATGTGATCATGTGGGCATTTTTAATGTCACTTTAGTTTTGTTTTACATGTATTTCTGAGTTGACCAGTAATATACCAGTGATGAAATCTGTAAATGCATCACTGACTGGCTAATGTCTCAGCACTAACCAAGTGGGGCTAATCGATTTAGCTCAGCTGTGTCCAGACTTTCTGATCCTGTAATCTGTATTGAGCTGAGTATCTTACGTAATACACAGATTTCATTTGTCAGAGATCTGAAGGACAGAGGGAATGTGGAGTAATTCCCAAGTGAGAGATGGTGTAAGCTCCCTAATAGTTTTAGCACAGCTTTGTGGGAACAGACAGGGCAATTGTGCAGCTGAGTCCAAATGACCCATCTATTGACTCGCACAGGGAAATCAGATTTCCCCCATATTTCGAGCCCAGCAGCAGCTGGTAACCTGTTGCACAGCTGTATTCCCAGCATGGGAACCAAACCTGAACCTTTCGGGAGCTGCAAGTAGTCTTAGAGCCACAGAACAGATGTCTCAGCTTCAAAACTTACTCCAGAACTGACATTTAACAGGGAGTTGAACTGGCAGCTCTACATGTGGAAGAAATTCAATGAATGAAAGGAGCTGTGATTGTCTATAGTGGGAAAGAGCCTGGCCTCCAGTTCTTATGAGGCAAATTCATCTTAATTATCTTACAGGTAATCAGGCATTTTGGAATGTTTGGAATCAAGATTCCTGTTTCCAGGGATTTATACAGGAAAAAGGAGAAATCATAAAAGGTTCTAATTGATTCTTTATAGTTTGTTCATTACTGATTATGCACTGATGCTACAAGATGTGTTGCTATGAACTCTGGTTTGAAAAGGTGAGGATAATTTCCACACAGCCATGAGGGTTTCAGAGCTGTGTTTCATGGGAGTTCAGATTTCATTTATCTAATAACATTCTGTGGTCACAGAAGAGGTTAGATCCATTTTCTTTATATTAATAATTTGGGGTTTGTTTGTCTTTTTCATTCAGGTCTGGCAAAACCCATGGGATTAGTTGAAGGTCCAGGAGGCTTGGGCCAGGGAGGAATGGCTGCTACCCTGAGAGATGATAGCCATGAATCAGAAACTAAGTATGAAGAATACGGTTACAATGCCCAACTCAGTGACAGGATATCACTGGACAGGTCCATCCCTGACTACAGACCAAAAAAGTAAGTTGAATTCCACATTATTACTAAGAATGATTGGTGGTTGTTCTGGTGGCATTCTTTTCTTCACATCCCTTCCTGGTTAGAGAATGACAGCAGTTAGTCATACATAAAGCTCTGAGTTTAGTGAAAATTAAACAGACCAACTGCCATCTCAAGCATGAAGTGTGCTCATTCTGTGAGTAATACATTAATATGCATATGCAAAGGCTCAGATGAAAAACTGCATCAGGTTACGGGTGCTTGTTGGGTTGGTTCACTTAGAAAAAGCCAGGTAGTGTCAGCTTGAGCCCACCATCAGAGGTGGGAGCCTTAGTCTGTGCTTCTTGTAACATGTGCCAAGAAACACTTTGTAGATACTGGTCACTTAAAAAGCCCCAACACATCAAATCAACAGCCTTTTCTTTAATTGCATTTGATGTTCTTAGAACTGTTTACTCAGGTTTACAATGTGCTGAAGCAAGGACCGAGTGTAATCAATCGGGGTTCTATGACTGCAATAAGATTTTTCTTTTGTCTTTGGAATACGTATTTATTTCTATTCCAGTGTTGTATTCTTCCCATTCCTGTGCTACATTTGACACTGCAATTATATGTTTATTATTTGTGCTGATTTATTATATTTTGTACTGAATGCCTTTCAAGTCTTTCATATTTATAGAGTTATGTATCTTGCAGATGAGACATCCACACTGTCATCCTATGAATGACAATCAGTAACGTCTTAATGCAGAGGAGATCAGCAGCAATGCCTAGTTGCTCTCAGGAGGCAGAATTGAAAAGAATACTTAATTAATTTCTAATAATAATCTTCTGTTTTAAAAGACCCGCTGGGGCTCCTAGGCAGAACTGAAAGTTAAATAAAAAAGTATCTTATTAAGTGGCAAGAAAAGTTTAGCCAAGCAAAACAGCTGCAAACTGCAATTGAATTAGGATTTTAGGCAGTTAGAGCTGCCAAAAAGAAAAAGAAATGCAGCAAAACAAAAGTTCAGCTTAACTACAAATTTCATTAACTATGTTACATATTCATGTCATCTTAGAAGTATTGACTCAGCATTTGTTTCCTCAGACACTTGCTGTACAGAAGAAAACCTAGATAAAAGAAGTGGCAAAGAAAGCAAATCTGCTTTGATACCATGTCATGGCTTCTCCAGTGGTCTCATCTCTCCATCTCTCTTGATGGATCATCAAAATCCACCATGGAATTATTCTTGGGAAAACGGAGTCTGTAGTTATGCAAATATTTGAGCTGTGCGTCAGATCTGGCCCAAAGACCCTTAAAAATCAGCATATGAGAGCCAGTGAGGTTTGACCTAGCCTGTTATTAGCTGCAGCAGTCAAGTAGGTGATAAATGAGAGTGCTCCACTAGGAGGTACAAAAGCAAAGGTTGCAGAGCTTGGATTGAGCTCAGTGGCTGTCAGAAGCATGGCAGCATTTGCAGTGCAGTGATGTTTCACTTCAGATTATGCTCTTTCACAGTGTTACTTGAAAGCTTTGATGAGTCATTCGAATAAGCTTTTTGACATGCTCATTTTGGGAATCTCATATGGCCGTGCTGCATGATTAACTGTCTGAGTTACCGGGAGAACTGCCTTCCTTGTGGCGTTTTTGACATTTTTGAAGTGGTTCTAGTTAGGTCTAGATGCTGAAATTGAAGCACTTGTCTCTAGATACTTACCCTTCAGACTGAATTTGCCATGAAAAATGAGTGGAAGTTTGGAGAAGATGAAGAGTTTTATCCACTTGTTTTGTCCAACTTTGTATGCTGACTTGCACAATGGCCTCATCTCTCCGTGTCTTGATAATAGCTCTCATTGCTGAGCCCTTCTCCGTCTGCTTGTGATTTATATTCATGTCATTCCCAAAACTTTTCATTTTTAAAAAGGGAGGACTTTTCATTTTTAAATTGAGAAGTTAGAATTAATGTCTAAGTCCATGGCCAGTCTATAAAAACATTTACCTGAATTTGCATTCATAGAATCATACAATGGTTTGGGTTGGAGAGGACCTTAAAATCATACAGTTCCAACCCCCCTGCCATGGGCAGGGACATCCATGTCACCCATGGCTCTGTCCAACCTGGCCTTGAGCATTGCCAGGGATGGAGCATTCACAACTTCCCTGGGCAACCCATTCCAGTGCCTCACCATCCTAACAGGAAAGAATTTCCTCCTTATATCCAATCTAAACTTCCCCTGTTTAAGTTTTAACCCATTACCCCTTGTCCTGTCACTACAGTCCCTAATGAAGAGTCCCTCCCCAGCATCCCTATAGGCCCCCTTCAGATACTGGAAGGCTGCTCTGAGGTCTCCACGCAGCCTTCTCTTCTTCAGGCTGAACAGCCCCAACTTTCTCACCCTGTTTTCATATGGGAGGTGCTCAAGCCCTCTAATGGTCCTCATGTCCTCCTGTGGACTTACTTGCTTCAATAGCCCCATGTCCTTCTTATACTGAGGACACCAGAACTGCACATAGTATTCCAGGTATTCCCAAAGTATTAAACCATGTTTTTTCCCTGTTCTGCCTTCCATTTAAAATGTTCAGATCTGCACACAGCAGTAGGAATTAGAGATAAAGAGAATTTATGCTCAAGTCTGCATGGAACTTGTAATATCCGAGGCTTAGTCTTCTTTTAAAAGACATACGATCAGAAATACTGTCTTTTAGTTCATTTTATCTTTGAACTTCCGTCTTACTGTTGTTCAGTATCTTATTCTGGTAGAGCAAGCCTTTTGTTCCATCTAGTAGCATAGCTTCAGTAAACAATCAGCAGTTTAATTGCTTTTCAGGAGGGATTTTCATCCCCATGCAGCAAATCAAAAGAATATGTTACATTAAAGAGATGTCAGACAGTGTGACCATGAAGGCTCCTAAACTGAAGTCACCTTCATGTCCTTCCACTGCAGTACAGCCTGCAAACCTGGGTGGGTAGTCCTGTTCTCAAGGTGCTTTTCCTAAACAGTTGCATTGTGTTCTGCCTTCCTACCTCCTGCTGACAGTGCAGATACTCCTTTTCACTCAGAAGGCTATTCTTTAGCATAGGAATCACTAAGTATAGGAGACAAGAGCAGATATTTTGCATGTTTTGTTTGTGTGCCAAATAGAAGCAATGTCAGTAACTAGCTTGCTTGTGATTACAGTTCTCACTATAATTACAGAATTATAGTTTGGTCTTAATGTGGTGTAATAAATGTTTCAGCTTTTTCTTCTCAATATCAGAGGCATAAAAGTATATTTCAGAGATACATAGATAATATCAATATCTGAAGAGTTTGTCAAGGGCCATACCGTTATGGAAAATAGATTGCAGAGAGCTCAGGATGTTTAATGTCCTAGCCTCTTTTCCCAGCAGTAAAGTATTAGCAGGACTTTCTAGCCCTCACTTAACATACGTTATTTCCTCTGTGCAATGGAAGGGAAGACCCTTCTCTTGTAAGGAACAGGTTATTTTATCTGTGGAAGCACTTGGCTAAGCTAGAGTTTATTTTGTGATTCTCTGGGAAAAGTGTTATTTAATGGTGAAATATTACTGGTTTAATTTCCATTTATGTTCTTCCATATTCAAAATGAGTGTGTTGTGATCACATAAACCTGAGTACTTACTGGAGATAAATCCAGTTGTGTCCAGTCACCCCTATGTATATGAACAGGAAAGCATAAGCACATCTATTTGTATCTGTTATCCCTACCAATATGTGCAGGTGCAGAAGAGCCTTGAATCCTACCCATGAGAATGCTGTCAAATCTGCTGGGCTGTTCCCAGGCCTCTCTTACCAATATGTCAAAGGGCCAGTGTTTAACTGAATAATCAAATATAGATATGGAGCAAAACAGGTGAGATTTTTGATAAAGATCCCACACTTTCAAAAAGAAGTGCCCGCAGTCACCCACCTACAGCCCTGCATAGTCTTTTGTCTTCAAGTGGCTTAATTTGTTAGGGGTACTGAGAGTAGGGAAAGAGAACAGGTTTAACTGGGACAGGCTGCACTGCTCCAGTAGGCTTCAGGAATGGCAGCAGCTTTTGGGGGAATAGCAACCTTCACTGCTGCCAGCTGTATCAGAAAGTATCTTTGTGCTCCAGTAACAGAGGATCAGACTCCATCCTTCCCAGTGACACATGGAGACAGAGGTGATGCAGCCCTGGGTGCCAGTACATTTTGACTTTACCAAAGATGAAGAATGCAGGAAAAAAGTCAAAACCTTTTTGAATTTCACCCAGAGATGGGGGGAAGGCCCCCAAGCTCTCAAAGGCTGTTTGTTTTACAGTGCAGCATCCTGGAAAGTTGGGAAGTGTCAGCTAACCAGATGCTTTCACACATGAGCATCGTCTACAGGATAACATCGATTCCCCTGTTTGTTCTGGTGCACAGGCTGGATTGCAAGGGAACACCTGTAAATCTGGCATTTTCTAACTTTGCATCACTTGACTTTGCAACTTAAATAACTTCTGGGGTTTCTTTACATGCGGGACACGTCCACACATAGGCACGCATGCACTTGTCAAAAGCACTTGCTGTGATGCATTATGCATACTTTTGAGAAAAGTTAATATGATCCCGGAGCTTCCATAACGGCTAAATTGGCTTTTGCAAGAAATTGTCGCCTCTTGGTGAGGATCTTTAATTTAACTGATCTTTTTTTGTGCAACTTGATGCCGAGTGCATTGTGCCACTTCAGTGATAACAATAATGCTAATACATGGATTCAGTCTGCTGGCTCTATCAGCCAGAGAAGGTATTTCTTTGTGTTATGGTCATGGATGTTTGTATTGAGAAAATTCAGCCCTAAAGAACAAACTTATTAATGCCGAGGCAACTCAAGTCCTTAGCCATAAAAGGCAAAGAAATCTAGGTCTCAAGGAAATTACTTTCATTTATTCAGTTCTTCTATAGAGGTGAGCATTTTCGGTGCTTGCTATAGACATTTCACAATAGCGAAGCAATTGCATCTCTAGGGCTCTGAAGTGTAATTAATGGTTCACTCCACTCTATACCTAAGGAAA